TGCAAAGCGTCTGCGGGCACCTGTTGTCTGGGTTTGGGGGTTGACTAGAGGGGGGCAGCTGGAAGTGGGGATGGAAAATCTTTTTTAAAGAAAGGGTGGGAGGGCCTGGAGTTACTCTCCACAGGAGGGAGGGAAGTAAATATTTGCAAATAACAATCCAAACCTTACGGAAGGCTTCACAGAGGGGGTGACTTAGGCCTTGAAGAAGTAGATTTTTGCAGTGAAGAGGGGTAGGCAAAGCTATCAAAGGATGAAGCGGCATGGGGCTGGCGTAGGGGGTTGGTCATAGAGCCAGAAGCTTGGCATGTCCTTCTCTGGACACACGTGCTCTCTGGCCCCACCCAAGTCATTTTCTTATTTCCAGATTCTAAAACTTCAACAATGTGTCACAGATACAAGGTTCAAGAGTCAGCTTTTTAGCAAGTAAGATAATAATAGAAGGGTATAATGCTTGTCCGTTTTATATAAGTTTCATCAGGCATAAATCAGCCAACTTTAGAGCCCACGCACCCCCATATCCAGCCTGCGGCCTGGCAGCCGCACCCCTGTGAGTGCGACCAACTCAGCCCTTCTTGGCAATTCTCCTTGATGACAAAGTCAGGCCGCCATGGGGTGAATGAAAATGGAAGAGCCAGGAATGGAAAAACCCACTCTGAAAGGACAGGCAGCGAGCGGGCATCCAGCACACACAGCCGACGCCAAACAATCGTGGGAACGGGCGCCCACGGGACAGGATGTCAGTAGTATAAACCTTGACAATGTAAAAATCGAACTCACAAAATTTGGGAGGGGAGGGAGGTAGGAAGCGGTGGTGAGCTCATTCCTCAACCTAAATCGCAGGTTGTCAAGAGATGCCATCTTGCAGTTGAATATGTTGAAAAGAAAATCCAGCCGCTTAATATTTTTCTCTCCTTTAAAGAAATAATTTAGAAACATAAAAGGAAGCATAATTATTTGCAGCTTGCAATTTCTTTAGTTACATTTAGGTTTCCTTTGTTATGTTAAATTTAATACAGTACTTTTTCTAAAAAGAATGGTATTGCATGAGCCCATTTTTGTAAAAATTTCCAAGCCATCTCCCTGTCCTTTCCTCTGGAGGATGAAGTAGAGCCACGTCTCCATAACGTTCCCTGGGCGGCAGAGGCGCTGGGTTTCTGGACCACTGGAGAATGCTGGTTTTGCTACTCTTCAGTGGTATTTGAATTTCTTTGTTTTTCTTTTTTTTCTTTCTTGAGACTGTGTCTCACTTTGTTGCCTGGGCTAGAGTGCCGTGGCATCAGCCTAGCTCACAGCAACCTCAAACTCCTGGGCTCAGGAGATCCTCCTGCCTCAGCCTCCCGAGTAGCTGGGACTACAGGCATGCGCCACCATGCCTGGCTAATTTTTTCTATATATTTTTAGTTGGCCAATTAATTTCTTTCTATTTTTAGTAGAGACGGGGTCTTGCTCTTGCTCAGGCTGGTCTCGAACCCCTGAGCTCAAACGATCCTCCCGCCTCAGCCTCCCAAGGTGCTAGGATTACAGGCGTGAGCCACTGCGCCCGGCCTGAATTTCTTATCATGAGCATGTACCATTGTTATGAAAGCAAAGCCTTTACAAAAATTAAAATACATTTCTGGAGAAGAGAAAATAAACGTGCTCCTTTGCCAGGGAGGCGTGCTCCCAACTCACCAGCCAGCCCCGGCCCGGCCGTGCGGTCACTCCCAGGGGCTGCTCAGAGCCCTCTTCTGCAGGGTGAGGTGCGTGTGCATTTCACTGGGGCCAGCGTGGGGGCACAGGGGAGGGGCGTGCGTTGACCCGACACCTCAGGACGCTCTTTTGAGCCTTGGGAGCAGGTGCTGCGGCCATCGGGGAGGCACCGGCCACACGGTCGGGAGCCTCGGAGCCAGGCCTGCTGGGTGCAGGGCCCTGTGCCTCCACTGCTTAGCTGGGGGCCTGTTTCCTCCTCTGTAGGCCCAGGAGGTCATCCTTGCCCCGCTTGTTTTCAGGTTGCTGCGAGGGACGTGGGAGGCGCCGTGCCCGCCAGTCCGAGTGGTTGCTCAGGATGTTCACTGCCCCATCGTCACGGACTCAGTGTGACCGACACCACTGCCAACCCGGCCTAAGGGGTCATGTTGGTTTCAAGTGGCTCTGTCTACCCTATATGGGCCCTAAGAGCCACTCTCATAGTCTCAGCTCCATCTAGTGTCTACACTGGGACACAGCCGCACACAACTGGCTTGTTGCAAACCCTCATTTCCACACTTGCTTAGGGTATGGACTCATTAAGCAAACAGGACCAAAATAAGATCAATTTAAAGCATTTCTCCCAGCACTAAGATTTGGTGTTTTGAAGCAAGTGTACAAAGCCAGTGTTTCTAGAGATGTGTGTATCCTATCTTCGAAAAGATGGCAACAAGTAAGAGTTACTTATAGTAATTGCCATTTATTGTTTACTACATAGAGGGAACAATTCTAAGTGCTACAACTGTGTGGGTTCATTTCACCATCGCGGCATCATGAAAGGGGGTGCTTATTGTCCCATTTTATAGATGAGGACACTGAGATTAAGGAAAATCTGTCACTCTGCTAAGTTCTGAGGGCAGTAAGGGCTGCCTGGTGGGGCGGGCGATGAGGAGGGAGCCAGGTGCAAGGTTAGCGCAGGTGAGGGAGAGAGGAATGGGGTCCCGAGGCAGCGCCCGTGGGGGCTCAGACTGTATTTGGGAGGTGCAGGAGGAGTGTGGACGCGGCCACTGTGTGATTCGGGAGGTGCAGGAGGAGTGTGGGACCCTATCTGGATTTGGGAGGTGCAGGAGGAGTGTGGACCCCACTGGATTTGGGGAGGTGCAGGAGGAGTGTGGACCTACTGGATTTTGGGAGGTGCAGGGAGGAGTGTGACCCACTGGATTTGGGAGGTGCAGGAGTGTGGACCCTACTGGATTTGGGAGGTGCAGGAGGAGTGTGGACCCCACTGGATTTGGGAGGTGCAGGAGGAGTGTGGACCCTACTGGATTTGGGAGGTGCGGGAGGAGTGTGGACCCCACTGGATTTGGGAGGTGCGGGAGGAGTGTGGACCCACTGGAATTTTGGGAGGTGCAGGGAGGAGTGTGGACCCACTTGGATTTGGGAGGTGCAGGAGGAGTGTGGACCCCACTGGATTTGGGAGGTGCAGGAGGAGTGTGGAGAGCGGCTCGCTCTCCAGCTTGAGCATGGGGGTTGGGGAGGCTGCGCTCCAAGAGAGGGAGGACAGATCAACAGCTGTAAATATTAATTGAGCACCTACTGGTGTGCCAGGCACTGGGATGTAGCATTCTGTCCTTGCAGAGTTCTGGAGTGCTGCGGGGGAAGGAGGCTGTCAAATGATTGCCGAGCACGTAGATCTACGAAGGACAAGCTGGAATCG